TTATGTGCTTGTGTTGTAGTTGCCAGGGCTCAAACTTTGGTGGATAAGCACAAAAACTTTTTCCTCCCTCCTCTTTACCAGTAGCCCACGAGCACATGGGCAAACTTTAATTCTCTCTATATATGTGTTTTCTTAGTTCTCCTTCTAATCATATCCATATCTATAACTTTAAAACTTCTCAACAAATAGAAAAAAACAAAAGCTCTCAAAAGATGGAAAAGAGTGTTCTCCTCTGCCTCCTTTTGCTTTCCTCTTATAGTTACGTCTCGGCTCGTTATGATCCACCCAAATCCCTAGTATCAACAGTCACCAAGAACAGCATCTTACCCATCTTTTCCTTCACACTCAACGCAAACGAAGAGTATTTCATCCACATAGGCGGGCCCTACATTGTCCGCAGCTGCAATGACGGTCTCCCTCGCCCTATCGTTCCCTGCGGCTCGGCCACGTGTGCTCTCACTCGTAGAGTCAACCCTCACCAATGCCCTCCTCCCAATAACACAATCATCAACACAAGATGTGCTTGTCAAGCAACTGCCTTTGAGCCATTCCAACGTCTATGTAACTCCAACCAATTCACCTACGGAGACTTCGCCATATCTTCCCTAAACCCTAGCTGTCCCTCGGTTACATTCAGTAACGTGTATTACCTATGCATACCCAAGCCGTTCCTCTCCGACTTCCCTCCCGGTGTTTTCGGCCTTGTGGGGCTTGCACCCACGCCTCTCGCCGCATGGAACCAGCTGACTCGACCTAGACTCGGCCTTGGGAAGAAGTTTGCGTTGTGTTTGCCTTCTGATGAAAGGCCTACTAACAAAGGCGCTATTTTCTTTGGTGGAGGTCCGTACACGCTCGGAAACATTGATGCAAGATCCATGCTCTCTTACACTCGGTTGATCAAGAACCCTAGAAGACTCAACAATTATTTCTTGCGACTCAAGGGTATATCGGTTAACGGGGAAACGATCTTGCTTGCCCCAAACGCTTTTGATTTCGACGTCAAAGGTGACGGAGGCGTGACTCTGAGCTCCGTTACTCCTTTCACTACGCTACGAAGCGATATATACAAAGTCTTTATTGAAGCATTCTCAAGAGCCACGTCTGATGTTCCACGTGTCAATAGCACGACACCGTTGGAGTTTTGTCTTAAGCCAACGAAAAGTTTCCGAGTGCCTCAGATCGATCTGGAGTTAGCTGACGGGATAACTTGGAAAATGCTTTCCGCAAACTCGATGAAGAAGATCAGTGAGGACGTGGCTTGCTTGGCTTTTGTCAACGGAGGAGATGCAGTGGCGAATGCGGTGGTGATCGGAATGTATCAGATGGAAAACACTTTGTTGGAGTTTGACGTTGGGAGATCTGCTTTTGGGTTTAGTTCTTCTTTGGGGTTGGTGTGCGGTGACTTTCAAACACGGCCGTGAGAATGTCAAAAGAACTTGATGTTTGACTTTCTCTAATGATTGTAGGTTTTTTAGCACAGTCGTCGCTTTATTTGTTTTGTAATTTTCCTGTCAAGTGTGATTTTAAAAGGTGATTTGAAAATAGCATTCATTCATCTAAATGCTATTGCCAGAACCTCCAGGAACAAGATCCAATATTTTGATATCGGAGAAAGGTCAAAATCAAAATGTTTCCGACTCTCAAGGTATCCAGCTGATGTGTGTGGACTACTTGTTCAAATACCAAACTTTTGGAGGATTTGTTGTCCTTCCGTCGTTTAACAAAAAGAATGTAAGCCAACCAATGTGCCCGTGTCGGGATCACGGGTAAAAGATCCCGAGGACGAGTAGAATTGGATAAGAGGACTCAATTTAGCAAACGAAGAAATTGCACCAAAACATGGAATTAATGGTCTTGGGACAGAGTGCGTTTGCATAAATCTCAACCACAACAGTAAAACAATCAGAAATAAAAGACAAGGGATTTGCCAGTAGTTTAAGGGCCTGGATAATCATGACAATTATCAGATCCAGGCGAGTGATACTGGCGGATTCTATCTCGCAAGTTTTTTTTTTAAATTGACTGGATTGTGATTGTCTCTAATCCAACCAAAGAAGCTGACTTGCTTTTCTTTGATTTCCAACACAAATTCAAAACAAAAAACGAAACTTTAAGGCTTCAACAGTTTGAAGGGGTTAGCAGAGAGATGAGAGGCGTTGATGGAGAAGAGAGAGATGAGCGTTTATGTATATATATATAGAGAATAATTGAAGATTAGGGTTTTCCATCTCTAATTCTCTTTAAAAAAAAAACCCCAAAAAAGGGTTCTTGGGCCATTCATTTCGTCAGCCCAACTCCGAGGAAAGCCCAATCATTAATTGACTCGGTTTCATTTTCTTTTTTATTATGTTAGCTTTGGTTTTTCATCCGACTTTTCCATGATTTACAGAATCGAAATTTTGGAAGAAACATTTATCAGAAAAAGAAAATGGTTTAGATTCTCATCATATCTACAGTTAACAAGTATACAATCTAGACGTAATTAAGCCGGTTTGGGTCAAGAACCAGTGTGGATCTCTAGAGGGGGTTTGTGCTATTTGTCAGTTACGTTGAGCCATTTGAACGTACTGCATTCTCGCCAATGGCGTCATCGAGGGGATTGGGATGGATAGTTCTTGCGAAGAGGATCCTGAAATGTCTGAGTCTTTGCAAGAGGAATATTTTGACTGAATTCATAACAGCTTCCCATGTGTCTCGGAGGCAGAGAATGACCAGCACTGCAATAGCGAATGCGAAAGAAACTCCAGTGATGATAAACAAGCCGCGGAACCTGTAAAGGGTTATAGGATTTGACGTATCATCGGTTGTGTATGGAAGTTGCTTCTCAAACCATCTTTTCTCCATCTCATTTAGCTTCTCCATCTTCCTTAAATCGGAGATTTCCCTGGACACGTTCTGCACCAACTCATGGCCCTTCTGGAACATCTGGAACATGGTTTTCGTCAGCATGTCAAAAGAAGAAGATGAAAAGTAAGGATATTGATGATGGCGAGGGATACATACAAAGCCGAAACCACTGGTGGTACATTGTGTCTTGACCATGAGAAAATGTGCAGGATGCTCGCCAAGAAGGACTTTGAGGTATGGCATCTCATCCACAACAAATGAGACAGTTTTGTTCAGCAAGGCTTGTGCATAATCTTCAGAACTATTGAGACCCTTTGATCTCATCACTCGTAGGCTAGAACTGGTGAGGGCCACATTTGCAATGAGGGAGCCCGAAAGGTGACCCACGTAGTCTTCATTTGCGTTGAATCGTATCTGTTGGACAGTCATCATTGATGTCAATGTTGCAGTGTAACTTGCAGTTAATATGAGCACTGCAAATACCCAAACTGTAACTACAAATCTTGATAAGTTGTGTTTTAGCCTCTCCCCTGTCACAGATAGTAAGCATCACCTCCAGTCTCTTTGGACCAAGATTGGCATATAAGAATTGAGATAAATTAAGTAGTACTTACTGTGAGCATAAACGAGCGTAGAGAAGCCAAACCATAGCATCACTCCAATCTGTTGTGACCAAGATCCCTGGAACTCGGTGTTCTCAGATCTTTCTATCAGCCAAACTATAATGCCCGTCAAGACAAAGAAAGCTGCACTTGTTATCCAGAGGTCTGGTGTTAGAGGTCTGAAGAACACCCACATACTTCTCTCTTTTGGTGCTACAATTCCAAGACCCATTTCGGTGAATGGCATCGTAAAATCAACATACATCGATCTATTGGGAGTGATTGTAATATCTCCCACTGCCGCATCATATTTGTCTTTCTGTGGAATCCAACACAAAATTTCAGTGGAGTTGGTATAGTTTCTATCACTCTACTACATAAATGAATAAAAATACTTGTAGTCAGTACCTGGGAATAAAGTGCATATGCAAGATTGTCGTAGTTACTCCCATTGCGCCAAGGTATGTACTCCACTTCATAGTTGAAAGGTGCAATGGAAGCAAGAAAGACTTCTATACAGAACCCTTCAATAATGGTATCATTTGTTACTGGATTAGTCCATACCTTCATCAATCTTGGAAATCGGTTGCTCGATGTAACCAAAACCCTCAGCTTTTTTCTCTTGCTTTTTTCTCCTTTGGGACTTTGAGTTGATCCACCAGGCCAAATGATGGTCTCCAGCTTGTTATGAGTAGAAGATAGGTGTCTTCTATTGCTGAAACTACCATTAGAATTCCAAAATCCTACCCTTCTGTCACCTGATCCTATCATATTCACAATCTCAAACTTGTGTGACAACAACTTCTTATCATCCAACTGGAAGTCACCACTCAAGCCCTTAAACCTACTCTCTCTGATTGCCTCAAGGAGAGTTGATGAAACATTTGGCATCATCCTTGCAGATACTTCCACTGCTCTGGCCAGAGCCCAAGCGATATCGTGAGCCCATACCCCAGAGATGCTTAGCCGAGTTGTCTCCGATCCAACATTTTCTTCAAAAGGCAGTGATTTTCTCCATCTCAAAGTGAAATTGTGAAGCTCTTTTGACATTGGAATGTAAGACTTGAAACCAACCACACCTTCCATTGCCTCCTTTGCAAAATCGTCAGTGTTCTCGTGGAAACTGTTCATGCTTTTGACAGTGAGGATCCAAGCAAACCCTTCTCCCATCATCCCTAACTTCCCAGCACATGGGAAGAGCTGAGTTGCAATACGTTGAGACAAGTGCACGAGGAAGACAGTAGCTCCCAAGTCCTTCAACTTCCGTAGCTGATCCATCATAAAACTCTTGCTCGAAGAGACAGTAAAACCGACCTTAGATAGTATACCAACTCCATTTTCATGGAAATGGTTTGTGAAGAGTTGCATAGTATCTCTCCAGTCATCGTCATCTTCATAAACAAGAGCAACAGTGTTCCAGTCAAACCCGTGAAGAAAAGTTGCGATTCCCTTAGCCTCGGAGGCAGAATCATGCGTGGCTTGGATCAAGTGACTGTATTTGCTCAATGATGACGAAATGGGAGAGTTAAGTGAGATCACAGGAACTTTAGCTTTCTCCCCAACTTCCGCCAAAAGCTTCGCTTCCAGCAACGAATTCCCTCCAATAATCGCTTCCACTCCGACAGTTTGCAGCAGATCTACAGCTGTTTCATTAAGATTGTGAGTGTGAATTATTTCAAAAAAAGAAAGAGCAAACGGATACAGAGAAGAAGAGAATCGATGCATAGAGAATGGAGTGTATGAACCAGAAGCGAGAGCAAGGAGAGGCTCTCCGTGTGAGTTTTTGAAGGAGAGAGAGAGTCTTGTCTTGTAATGACTGTTAATGGCGTAGAAATCAGAAAGCGCCATGGAAACAGAGCTTCCCACCATCTTACCCTCCACGGAACCCAAATCCAAAACCA